CCTTTCCAATAAAAATAAAATAAATCTTTAAAAAAAAAAAAAAGAAAATAGACCCAAGTCCACACAGCACTCTGGACCAGGGGTATTCAGGCAGGGCCATCCCCACCCCCAGTCTCCCAGTGCTGCCAATCTGCAAGAAAGGGTCTTCTTCATCAGGTCCTCACATACTGCCCAGATGGGCACCGACACCCACACACAAGCGCTGCACAGCAGGAAGACCACCACCTGCAGCCAGCACCCTGGACACCTGTCCTTCCGAACCCAGCCGGCTGTGACAGGTGCCAGAGCAGAGGGAAATCTGAAAGAATGCCTTTAGCACCATGGCCAGAGAGGAGGCAGCCAGGAATCAAAGGGTGTAACAAGGCACCAGGATGAAACAGGGAGAAGTGCCCCATCTGGGCCTCATTGCCGCATTCCAAAGCCAGGACACACCATGGTAGGCGGGAGGAAGCCTGATGGAGTCCCGGCCAAACCTGATGGCTGATGTTGTTCTTGAAGGGCTGTCTCCCTGGGCCCGCCCCGGCCGGGCCATCTAAACAGTGAGAAATGCACTCCTGATACAGCACCCAGGAAACAGAAGCATCTCGCGTTCTCTAATGAAACTCACCCCTGCTGTGTGACTTAAGCAAGGTGTCTGACCGCTGCGAATCCAGCTCTCCAACTGCAAAAAGGGGAACGGGCACTAAAGTGCGGGCGGTGACTCTCAAGCAGACCACTCAGGAAGTCCGAGGGGCAAGCCCAGCGCTGCGAGGACTTGGCGGAGAAGCAGCCAGCTGCATGCTTCCTGGGGGTTAGAAAATCCAGCATATAAAATCCTTGCATGTCAAATCCAGCAGGGTATGCAGCTGCCAAGAGAGCCATGCTGTAGCTCTCTTCTTTTAAACATGGAAACGGCCGAGTCGGCTTCCTCTCCCGTGTGCCTCCGTCCAGCTCCCTGGCTGGCTGAAGCAGGAAGTCGCAGGAGCCACACTGATGGGCAGGCAGTGTCCCCATGGCATTCACACAGGTGTGGCAGCCCACAGCAAACCATCTTTGCCACCTGTATGTCCAACGGAGACCTGGCCAGGGCACTTTTCCCAGTTATTTAACAGCAGATTGGCGTAGGGCGCCTGAGGTTCCTCCCAGCTCAAGCATTTCAGGGTTTTATGACTCAGAAGAAAATCGTGTTGGTAATCTGGGATGATAGAGTGTTAATGTAATTTTCTTAATGAGTTGTGAAGGGAAATATTATGTATACTGACAAAAGGAAGTCATGTGTCAGAATGTCTTTTTTTTTTTTTTTTAAGGTTTATTGGAAAGGCAGAGTGACAAAGAAAGCAATCTCCCATCTGCTGATCACTCCCCAAAAGGCTTCAGTGGCTGGAGCTGTCCACACTGAAGGCGGGAACCTGAACTGCATCCCGCTCTCCTCCATGGGTGCAGGGGCCCAAGGACTGGGCCATCTTCTCGTACCTCCCAGGCACATTAGCAGGGAGCTGGATCAAAAGTGGAGCAGCCAGGACTTGAACTGCCACCCATCTGTGATGTTGGTGTCTCAAACGGTTGCTTAGCCCACTGCACCACAATGCCAACCCAGGTGTTTTATTTTTCTAAATTCAAGCAGGCTAACACTTAAATCCAAGGCTACAGGCTGATTTTCTAAGCTGTAGCTTGAGAATGCTCATATTATCTGTTAGTATTATTTGTACTGCAATTATATTTTAAGTATATATAACAGAAGTGTTACATGTATGAAAAGGGTACTTCATAAGTTTGTGGGATATGGAATTAAAAGTTAAAACTGTTCTGCTGCTGCTGCTGCAAAAAAGAGGGGGGATCTTGGAATCTTGGGGTGAGTATATGGCTCAGTGGCTAGGATGCTGCGTAGGATCTTGCATCCCCAAATCGGAGCGCCTGGCCTGAGCTCTGGCTGCTCCCCACAGCCCCAGCTCCCTTCAAATGTGCACCCAGGATGACAGCAGCTGATGGCTCAGGACCTGGGCTCCTGTCACCGCAAGGGAGGCTCTGGGTCGAGGTCCTGGCTCGTCCTGTGTGGCCCTTTGGGGAGTGAATCAGAAAAGAGGACCCGCCCCACACATACACACACTGAATGCCTTTCAAATAAAATGGTAAAAAAAACTTTGAATTTTCCACTAACTTTCAGCAGACTTTATGCACAGGTAGATGTGTGTATGTCCTAATTGTAAATGGTAAAGCACAGAAATAGCTAACATCAGCATCCCTTGGCCGGCACACAGAAACAGCATGCTGGCTCCCGCTCAGAGTGGGCCGGCCTCTCGTCTGGATCCCTCACCCTGTCCGTGATCGGGCACTCTCACCCTCTTGGCCCTTTCTTTTAAAAACCTGCTTCTGTGTGTGAAACAGCCCATGTAGTGAGGCATGTGTGAAATGCACACGTATTTAAATTTCCTCCAAGAGGCTTCCAATAAAACTGTGCCCTCTCCCACTCTCCCTGCCCCAACCCTCCTCCTGGTCCCTTTATTTAAGGGGCTGTGCCGAGGGCCATTAAGCACCCCGCTGTGGGTGGGCAGCACGAGCCCCTTGGCCTCCCTCCCCGGAGCCCTTGGAGGTACTTCAGCTGTACCAGGCGTGGTAAACAAGGAGCTGGAGGCAGGAGACACAGCTACATCCATCCCTGCAACTGCAAGCAGGAGGAGGAGGGTGATCACAACCCCTTCCCTCCTGCCCGGTGTGCCCCACCCTGCCCGGCCTGTCGGGAGGAGGGTGGTGATGATGACACAAGTGATGCCCCAGCCTCCAGGGCTCAGCCCCGACCTGCTCCATGCAGGGGTGGCACCACATCTCCTGGTGGGGTGTAGCGAGGGCCATTGTCACACCCCTTCCCTGCCTGCACTCCTTCCTCTCCTGGTGGCCCAGCTGGGCTGCTTCCAGGTATTCCCAGTCAGAGCTCTTCTTTTCCCTAGCCAGTACCAGGGACTTAGTGATGAGCAAGTGGCTCCTGAACACCATTGCCCTCACACAGACTGAGCAGCAAGTTGAAAGCCCCAAGTCCCAATCTTGGCTCCAGCACATCCAGGCCCAAGATAACAGCCCATGTATTGGTAAGTTGAGCAACAATGGTGCCCTGTCTGCTGCTAGCCACAGCAGGTGAAAGATGGAGAATATTTCCTTAGACACTGCCCTTCCTACCCCAACACACAAACACACACACATATCCCAGACCGGCCACTAGGCTCTCCTGCCCTGGGACAAGGAGCAGGTGTCAGTACCAAAAGGCCCCAAGGGAAATGATCCAAGCCCACCCACCACTGGACAACCATGGGAAAATCACGGCAGCAAGGGACAGGGCAGAAAAGGGACCCAGCTAGGCCTTCTCACCCCAAACTGTGACATCGGCGGTATGTCTGGTGCCACCCAGAGCACTGCTCCTATGGTATGTCACCTGAGACCCACAGCACCCATGGTGTGGGTGCTCTAGTTACCCTGCCCTCCTCCCCGAGGCTCCCAAAAGGTGAACCGACTTCCCTTCCATTACACAGCTGGACCAGGCCCAGAGCAGGATGTGACCCAGCTAATCTGCCTGCTCACTGCTAACACCTGGGTGGCACAGGTAGCCCAACTGCCCCATAGGCTCTCAGAGGTGCCAGGGTTTTTGGGTGTACTGCACACACATGCCAGTTGCATTCTTGGAGCTACCACACAGAATGCCTGAGTAGCCCCTGCTCCAGGCATCTTTACCTCTGGGGACATAGGGGTCGCCCAGACACAGTCAGGTGCCAGGGCAGCTGGGGAGTGAAGGAGCCTACACCCCTCACCTGGAAGATGCCCACCTGCCCCTCAAGCAGGAGAAAAGCTGGATCTTCTGTCCCTCCCCTCCAGGTCTTCAGGAACCACGCCCCCTAACAAGACGTGGGTTCCAGGAATAAGATTTCCAAGCCCCGTTCCCATTCAGCAATCCCCAGAGGGGCCTCTCTGTCTAAAAACAACGCCAGGGCCACGGGCTTGGCACAGCTGCGGCCGTTCGCCAGCAGCACAACGCTGCCCTGCCTGAGGAATGTGCAGACCCACACGCGTTGGAGAGCAAAGGCGGCAGCCGCTCCCCCTCCCTGCTCCTGAGCCCTAGGGGTAGTTGGCTGTCCCGGCTGCAGCTTGAGAGCTGGGCTCTGTTGGTGGCTGTGCCTCTCTGGGCAAACCAGTCCAGTCTGCTCTCCCAGCAGCGGACCAAGAAGGCGGTCCCAGCAAGGTCAGAAGGCAGGGATTTGGTGACACGCCCACTCCCCTAAGGTTTCCTTCTATCTTCACTGGACACATCAGGGGACTCCACCCTAAAGGCGGGGGTGGGGGGAGGACCGTGTCCCCTTTCCAGAGAGGAAGCAAGAGCCCAGGACATGGGGCAAGGGTCCCAGTGCAGAACTGGGCCAGCGCTTCCCGCCACAGTGACAAAGTAATGGTACCTCCAGGCCAGTGTTACTGTGGAAGCAGAGCCCAATTGGGCCACGTGGGCCCCTGCTCCTGGGTGACCACAGAGCCACACCCTCAGGTCTCCTGTGGCGGGGGGGATTCCCGGAGGAAAGCCACCTCTGGCTTCTCCCCGGGCTCCCGTGGAGTTGTGGCAATGAGGCCCAGAGAGGCAGAGCCGCTGACCCCAGGCTGCACAGCAAAACAGCCCCCTCACCACCGCCGAACAACTCGGGGACTTTCCCTGCCCCGCGCGCTGCCGAGCTGGGGGAGTCCGGGTCCTCTCATCCCGGAGCTCAGCGGGCAGGCCAGACCCACTGCCCAAGGTCCTTCCTCTGGATTAGAATCTCCTGGGGAGGAGAGAAGCCTGGGCACTTCGCAGCCTGCAGGGAGCGGCCGGGTTTAAACTGAAAGAGGCGCCCGCCCGCAGCTGTCACGCCGCTCCCGGCATGCGCGCGCGCGTCACCCTGGCTACCCTTGACTTTGGGAGATCGCGATCCCGGGGCAGTGTCCCGACCAGGGGCTGAGTGATTCCCGACCCTGCCGCCCCAGGCTGGGCCTCCCCGCGCCGCACCACTTACCCGGCCAGGAGCGAGCAGGAACGCGGCGCCGCGGGCAGCTGGGGCCGAGCCGCCCGCCCTCGTCCCCGAGTCCCGGGCGGCTCCGGGGCGGGGCGGGGTCGGGGCGGGGCCGGTACACCCGCTGCCGCCTCCGCCTCGTCGGGACCCGCCACTGCCGCGCGGCTGGACGATGCGCCCTGCCCCGCGCGCGCTCTGCCGGAGTCCTGAGCCGCCCCGAGGTCCAATGACCCAGGCACATCCCCCGCTGGGACCCGGAGAACACGGCCCCTGCCGGCCCGAGAGCACTCCCCGGTCCCGCCGGGTCTCATCCTCGGGGGATGGCGGGGATGGCGCGTGGCCACCTTTCCCCAGGAGCTAGTTGGACACGGGGCGGGCTGGTGGGGTGGGGGAACTCCCTGTGCGTTCCAAACGTGGAGCAGGTCCTGCTGGGCGCAGCTGCCGCCCCCGAGCGCTGGAGTTGGAGCACAGGCAGGGGTACCACGCCTGGAGGCGCGAAAAGGGAGAAGGAAGTACCACTTCTCCGCCTTTTGGCTAACATCAAAAGCAAATGGAGAAGGAAGAGACATCCCCTGCCAGCCTGATGCGAGGTGGAGACATCCTAGTGATCCCCTCCCGGCCCGGGCTCCCAGAGACCAAAGCAATGGGAATCTCACCCTGGGTTGAACCTCCCCCAGCGAAGGCACGCAGAGTGTGCCTCTCGCCCCCCTCCCCCAGCTCACAATGATCTGCCCCTCTCCACTGGCTGGCTGTTCCCAACGCCTGCAGCCCTTTAACCTGGCCTGACCAGGTGGGAGCCTAACCTGCCCCAGTGCCTTTGCACCTGCAGTAGCCCCAGGCCGGCTTACTCCACACACCTGCTGCTGGTGGCCTCCCACTGTCTCAGGACTGCTGGCCTTCCCAACTCCACCTCTCTCCTCCCTCCTGCCCGGCTCTGGGGGTCACCAGCCTTCCAACACTCCCAGCTGCACTTTGCACGGTCCGGTCCTCAGTTCCCCAGCTCTTATCTCTTCCCAGGAACTGTGAATTTGCATGATTGGCTCCACCTATTCTGGACGAGGATGCCCTAGCTCCTAAGGCTATAACTGCAGGCTTCCCAGGTCAGGCATGGCACAGAGAGCAGGGGGCCGCAGGGGTGAAGTAACTAGCCCCAGCCCACTGCTTCCAGGGGCTGTTTTGGTCTTGGCTTTCCCAGCCGGTCTGGCAGGAGTTGGTTGACTAAACCAGTGTAAAAGTCAGCGTCCTCAGAGATGAGCTTGTCAAACTGGGCCTTGCAGGCAGAGGGGTGCACTGAAGGAGCCAGGCAATGTGTTATCCCACAAAGAAGACAGATTAGCCTAGCTCAAGTTAGAATACAGAGTGGCAGCCACGCCCCCTCGTTTAGAGCCCCTTTGTGGTCCTCTGTGTTCCTGGGGATGTGGATGAAGGGCCTCACGCACCCTGGCGCGTGACAGGTCCTAGGTGTCCCATGAGCAGCCTGCCATCATCAGAGAGGCTGCCGGCTGGGAGGCTCTGGCAGTGATGCCTGAGGTGCAGGCAGTAATTAGCCATCGTTATGAGAGTCATGGCTGGGATAACGCGCTCTGTACGTTCCAGAATGCTCTCAGGTGTGTCGCCTTGTTAACACTCCTCAAAGACCTTGCGTGTCATTAGGAAAGCTTTAATGAATGTGTCTTGTTAGGGAAACCAAGGCACAAAGGGGTCAGGTGACTGGCATGAGGACACAGGCAGCGAGCAGCTTGGGCCCGTGGCGCCCACTTACCCCTATGAGCACCTCTTAGCTGGTTATTCATGTGTGATTTCCTCTTCCGAGTTGCGGATCTAATAATAGGAAGCTCTCTCATGTGGGTCCTTGCCTGGCGTTGAGAGCACCCGGCTTACACAACCTGTCATGTCATGGCTCTCGGCAGGGGGCAATCACCATGATTTTGGGCACACAGCTAGTGGGGCTTCTGCCAAACACGTGCTGAGCACCTACTATGTGATAACTTCTGGGACTACGGAAAAGAATGAGGCTGCCGCCTCCCTGGAGCTCACAGAACGACTCTGTGCCCAGGACGGAAGACCCGCTGCTCCCCCCTGCTGTCACAGCAGAGACCCACACTGAGCAGGCAGGGGGGCGGGAGGGGAGGGCTCAAGGAGACAACTCGAACCCCAGGCCCAGATTTGCTGTGTATTTCCCAGGAGTAAACCTTAGCAAGCCGTATAACCTTTGCAAATATTAGCCTTCTGTTTGGCGGGCATAGCAAGAAGATCTTGGGAGAAATGTGTGTGGATGAAAACGTTTTACAAACTGCAAAGCGGCAAGTAGATACTAGTAGCTTATCATTCTTATCAACATGAACTCTTAATAAGCATCCCACCAGAGTCCTCACCTTATTTTGATTGATGTCAAAGTTGCATGCGCCTATGTGCAGGCTGGTACAGTGCCCACATTTCCTCCCTCCGAGCTGCTCTGAGAAAGGTTCATATGCAAGGAGACCTCAGGCAGAGGCCTGGCGCCAGAACCCGCTCCGTGGCTTCTGGAACTGAGTGCAGGAAGCCCCGCCCGGGGCCTCCCTGTCAGAAGCAGAGAGGGAACCACGAGAAGCGAGAAGCGATGCCCGCTTACTCGGAGAGTCTGACTCACTTGGCAGTGGGGCTGTTTGCTCAGCGTACAGCACATTTCCCCCTCAAAAGCCAAGTTTTTCCAGTCCTTTTCCCCCAGGGTGCTTTGCTGCAGCCAGCAAGCATGTCTGCCACCCCTGGTGGTGGGAAGGCAGGAGCTGGTCTAACACACGCCTGGGGCAGTGCTTTGGTGTGCGTGCCATCTGCAGCTGGCAGGCCAGCTTCAGCTGCATCTGTGCCATTCTCCTTTTGTGAGCGATTCCTTCCCCAGCCCGCCCCACCCCTGACATGTTGTTTATGTGTTTGGTCTCTACCAAAGCATGAGAAGCTGGGATATTTGTTTTCTGGTGAACACAGATCCCCTTGTATGAAAAGGTAAACTGAGGCAAGTGGGCGTGTTGGAGAGCCTCTGCCCAGGGTTCCCCTTTGTGGGGACTGGCGGTGTGTGCTGAGTGTGTGGTGTGGCATGGGGAGTTGGTTCCTGGCCCAGACACCGCTTTTGTACCTTGAGTTGCTTTCCATTTGGCAGTTCTCCACCTCCGTGTGGCAGCCCCCTCTCCACCCTGGGCCCTGTTCTGTGGGTCCTCCTGGCTTTGCGAGCTTCTCAGGGTGGTCATCTTCCTCGTGGGCAGCTGTTGCCCTACAATACCATCCAGCCAGCAGAACCACCCCAGCCCAGAGCCCTGCAGACTGCTCCTCTGGGCACACTGCGGCGTGGTGCTTTTAGGAAAGTGTGGGAAGCATGGACACGACTCGGCAGATGAGGCAGTTGGCACTGCTAACCAGCTACCTGAGGTGGGGCACGTCCAAACTGTGGGAGGAGATAATTGGACAAGATCATCTCCCAATAATTCCTACAACTTAAAAGACAGTGAGTCTTGATAATATCAGACAATAGCGTCACTGACCACCACCAAGCACTGTCATCAGCAGGAAGTTAAGCATTAAGTAAGCAAAATGTCAAAGTGCAATCGATAAACTTTCATTTTAAATTACTGTTTTGAAAGTCACAGTGATAGAGGGAGATACAGAGGTCTTTCATCTGCTGGTTCATTCCCCAAATGGCTACAATGACCAGGGCTGGACCAGACCGAACCCGGAAGCTGGAGCTCCATCTGGGTCTCCTAGATGGGTAATGAGGTGCAGGCACTTGCATCTTCTGCTTTCCCAGGTGCATTTGTGGGCAGCTGGATTGGAACTGCAGCAGCCAGCACGTGGAGCAGTACCCAAATGGGACCAGCACTGCAGTCAGTGGCTTAACCCACTGTGCCACAGTGCCAGACCTGACTTGTTTCTTTCTTCAGCTAAACATTTTGGTCTAAGATAATAATTGTAAATTCATACACACATCCAAGAAATGATGCATGGGGGTCATTGTATCCTTGATTCACGTCCCCCCATTCCCACCCCTAAATGCACAGCAGCACCTTGCAAGCCAGTTGTGGAATATCACAAGCAAGACACTGACAGCTGCACCAGACCTCCCCATCACAGGAGGGTCCCTGCGTGTGACCCCACGCCCCAGGCCTCCCCATCACAGGAGGGTCCCTGCGTGTGACCCCACGCCCCAGGCCTCCCCATCACAGGAGGGTCCCTGCGTGTGACCCCACGCCCTCTTCAATCCTGGCAACTCCTAATCTGCTTTCCTATCCCTACTTTTGCCCTTGCCAGAATGTACAATAAACGCAATCCCGCGGGATGTGCGGCACCTTTTGGCTCGGTCTGTGCCAAGCAGGCTGCCGATAAGGCGGGGCTCACTCCCTGACCCCCCTGGGTAGAGCGCTGAGCCAGGGTGATCCCATTTGTCTGAGCAGCCACCAGTGGCCCAGGACAGCCAGGGCTTCGGGCTGGCCCTTCCCGAGTACAGCTGCTGTAACACTTGGCGGACAGAGGTGCTTGCGTTCTAAAGCATGTATGTATAACGTCCCCACAGGTAATCCCACGCACGGGAACCCTGCTTATCCTTGGAGATACCTCCCAGGGCGGCTAACAGGCCTGCCCAGGACCAGACCCCAGGCTCCAGAAATTCAACCAAAGCCGACAAGAGGCTGGTCTACTGGGGAAGATAGACCATGTCCCTCAGGGCTGGGCCACATGGCCCGTGTCCATGCTCAACGGGGCCTAGGGGTTGGCGAGCGTGGACTCAGCGCTGGGGGGTGTGTTGGGGAGGCACCTGGGTAAGGGGTGTGAGCTGCACCTTGGCCCTCAGAGGACTCTGACTATATTTTGTTTTTTTGTTTTGTTTCTTTGTAGAATTTTATTCAAAAAGTTTGTATAATTACCATGTACTAAGGGATTACTAAGCACCCTATTTACTCATGTCACCCTCGTTACCACCTGTCACAGTAGCTACCATTATCAACCCACGGACCCATGAGGGAACAGTGTGACAGCTTGGGTATCACTACACAGCCATCATCTTCCCACGTCATAATCCCTCCGGGTCTGTGTCTGGTGGCAATTTTCCAGTTAG